CCCCCCTCCCCCCCCCCCCCCCCCTCCGGGAAGGGATAGTGATTGCACTTACGTGGTGGCTTCCCCAGACGACCCTGGTGACTCTATTGCTGGGACAGCTTGGGGGTCCGGCCGGTGTGGCACACTCCATGGTGGCTCCTCCTCTGAGCCCTGGTCAGGGCCCTCTGGTCTCGGCTCGCTGTCCCCTGGGGTGGCATGGACTGTCCTGCCCTCCAGGATGAGGTCCAGTGCCTCAAAGTAGGGGCAGGTGTCTGCCCCTGCTGAGGAGATGCCCCGAGTGGCCCTGGAGTATGCCTGTCACAGCTCTTTAATTTTCAGGTGCACCTGCTCTTGGGTGTGCCTGTGGCCTTTCTGGGCCATGGTGGCAGCTTTGCAGCTGTAGATGGCCACGTTCCTCCATCTAATGCGGAGATCATGGACATTTTGGGCCTGCCCCCAAACATCAATGAGGTCCATGATGTCTTCATTAGTCCAGGAGGGAGCGCGGCATCTACGACCCCTGATTGGTTCCCGGGTGCTGGGGGACTAGGCGAGGGATGGCTGGCTGGTACTGGCTGCCCGGCTCATCGTGGGGCCACTGGGGCAGAGACTGCTGGCAGGCCTGGATCTGGCACATGTAGTCTGGCCAGAGTCTACCCCTTTAAGGGCTCCTGGGCTGGGTCAGAGGAGAGGAGTTTTCCCGGTTTGGCCCAGCGTGGCCACCAAGGGAAACCGGGAAGGGCTGGACGCCAGCTAATTTGAATTAAGTGTCTACACAGCACTTATTTTGAATTAGCTATTTCGAATTTGGCGTTACTCCTCATAGAATGGGGTTTACCATATTCAAATTAAGCTCTCCGCAATTTTGAATTAAATTCAAAATAGAGGTTTGCATGTATAGAAGCTATTAAAGTTAATTCGAAATAATGGCTGTTATTTCGAATTAACTTTGCAGTGTAGACATACCCTCATTGATTAAAAGATAGGAAACAATGGATAGGAATAAATGGTCAGTTTTTAGAAAGGTCCATCATTGTCTTTTAGCTAAGGGTATGTCAACACTTGCACCCTCTTTTGAGAGAGGGATGCAAATGAAGACATTCGAAATTGCAAATGAAGGCAGGATTAAAATATCCCGCACTTCATTTGCATATTCATGTTATGGCTCTATTTTGAAATAACTGTATTTCGAAATAACAGACGCTGTTAAGATACAGTTATTTCGAGAGAAAACCCTTCTCTTGAAGTAACTGGTAAACCTCACTGTATGAGGAATAAGGGTTATTTAGAGAGAGGGTTTTCTCTCAAAATAACCGCATCTTAATAGCTCCATAATGCTAATATGCAAATTAAACATGGGATATTTAAATCCTGGCTTCATTTGCAGTTTCAAATGTCTTCATTTGCATCCCTCTGTCGAAAGAGGGTGCAAGTGTAGACATACCCCAAGATAGTCAGGGATGCAACCCCATGCTCTGCGTGTCCCTGGCCTCTGACTGCCAGACGTTGAGAATGAATGACATGGGATGGATCACTTGATTACTTATTCTGTCCATTCCCTTTGAAAAACCTGGCTTTGACTACTGTCAGAAGACAGGGTTCTTGGTTAGATGGACCATTTTCCTGACCCAATATAGATGTGCTTATATTCTTTTGTTGTTGTTTCTTGCAGTACTTCCGCCTAATTTGTTATTTCCCATGTTGTATGTATTCATTTGATATTTTCCTTTATTACACTTGTCTTTATTTAATTTCATCTTGCTGATTTTGGAGCATTCTCTGGTTTATCAAGGTTATTTTGAATTCTTATCCTGTCCAAAAAAGTGTTTTCAGCCCTCCCAACTTGGTGTCATACCCACACCTTATAAGCATACACTCAATGTCCAAACCACTGACTAATGAATATATAGAATAGTATCAGAGCCAGAACAGTTGCCTGTAGGATCCCATTTAATATGTCCTCCCAAGCTGAAAGCAAACCATAGGTAACTTTCTGAGTACTGTTTTTTGACTAGCTATGTATCTGTCTTCCAGTGATTTCATATAG